CAACCAGGTCATGTTCCCTATTTCCAACTGTCGTTATTTTATTATTGTTATCATGAAAATTTTGAAAAGAAAATTGCCTGGAGAGAGCATAACAGATCACACTGTAAATATCATGACTGGAACGTGGAAATGACGAGTGATTCAGCTACAAACTGCATTAATTCTGAATTTGTAAAGAAAAGAAATCCCAAGATCTAGTAACTAAGGAAAATCCAGTAACTAGGGATATCCACACAATGATTATCCTTAGCAATAGTTACCTTCTTTTTGCAGCATATGCAAACAATATTCATGCCATATGACCTCTTTGAAAACCCAATACAATAAAGTCAAAATTACTTCTAGATGGACCTCTTCTTATATCTTAGCTTATATTTAAGTCATACTATGGAACAATATGCCCATCACTTGGAAACTTAATGGGAAGGCTATCTTCCACCACAACTTTCATGAGGTACCTTTCTTCTTGACACAGAAAAGGATACCTTGCGGCAGTAGTCTGCTCTGTTAGACTACCTTCCGCCTTCTCTCGGTTATTTTGGGACGAAAGACAATTTGATTACAATTTAAAGAAATCTTGCAACATAAAATGGAAATGCGTTGAACATAACTTGATCATTGATTGCTTGAAAGCTAGAAATTACAATAGACGAAAGCATGAAATTACAATGGTTAGTGCAGGGACGAACACTAGAAAGCTTGAAAGATTGTTTGAAAGACTAATACCCCCTATAATAGACTTAGCAACAAAAACTCAATTGACGGGAGTAGACGTTTAAAAGTTGAGGAATCATAATAGACTTTTCTAATTTCCAACTATTTTACAATTAAATGATATATTTACAATTTACAACTGAAGTTGGGTAAACTGCGACTGTGATAAGATCGCGAGGCTTAAGTAAAGCTGCGATCCGTAACACATGAGCTAACGGCTAATCCCCATTATAGGCTAATTAAAAAAATTGATATTGTGGATGTCAACCGGTTGGCTCGTGGCTCGCCCACCTGAGGTTTGGATTGTTTTTGGGTAAGCCAATCAAGTCTAGGTATGTCAGCTCACCCTGAAGGTGAGTCGTGGAGCGAAATAATTGCACAATAAACATTTATAAATAATTACAAATTTATATTTTATCAACGAGAAACTCACTTATCATAGAACATATCCAACTGAGAAACAAATGCACAAATCAAGCTGATCGGAATATTTTTCAACTGCAATCAAAGTAACAGCAAACGGTTGATAATGGGTCCATTAGAAGCAAAGCCACCAAGGGAACGTTTATCTGTTCCAGTACATATAGCAAGTAAAAATGAATATCTGAGGAAAGTTCCCCAGTCACAACTGAATCAAAACACGACAACGAAATTTCAATTGGGGAATGGTTGTTAATTGTACACCATGTACTTTGGTGTTGCACTGAACTTCTGATATCCCTTGATGACTTTGTTGACAGCATCTAGAAAATCTTTCTCTGTGACGGTCTTCCTTCTTGCTCGTATAGCATACATTCCGGCCTCTGTGCACACGCTCCTTATGTCAGCTCCTGAATAAGAAGATCCAACTTACTAAATCAATCATTAGTCAGACATAACCGCAGCAGACATGGAAACATTTCCGAAAGTGAACTTTTGTAACAAATTCCACACTGATACAATGAACTTTAAACAATTTTCAATTTGACCCCTATTCCATTCGTGTAAATTCTAAGAACATTCAGGCATATTTCTCAAATAGTTCATATTTGCCCAGAGTAGTCATGCTTTATCCACAGTTGAGAAAAAACTGCTGGAACCAATCTTTTTCTTAGCATGTTCATTGATGCTATACAAAATTAACCCTATAATCCGTTCTAACTTTTTCAATAAATGAACAAGGTCAATAAGATAAACCAGTAGAAATTTTCGAAGCCTATCTAATATGAAAAGAGTTCAATTTCATACCAGTAGAATTTGGGCAAAGCCGAGCAAGAAGTTCAAACCGGATGTCCCTCTCACAATTCATTGTTCGTGTATGAATCTTAAATATCTGTGTTCTGCTTTCCAGATCTGGCAGTCCAAACTCCACTTTACGATCAAGCCGTCCAGGACGTAATAGTGCAGGATCCAGTGTGTCAGGTCTGCAATTAGAAAAAACCATAATTAAATTAGCAAATACAAGCGATTGTAGAACTACAACTTAAAAATGCCACTGCTACAAAAAGCAAAATCTGATCTTAGCAGATAATACAGTATTACAGTCTATAGAAAACCTTAATAAGCATAAAAACAATAATTCTACATTTAAAATTTGAAAGAAACGTAGTGCCACCCAGTCACCCCAGAACCCATGAAAAAGGAAAGTAAAAGGTAAGTAACATGATATATACCGGCACGCAGCTGTTAATACATTTTTCCACTCTTTCAAGTTGGGCATATCCCAGCAACAATAAACAAATTTTGCGGAGCATATGTAATAAGAGAAATTGACACAGAAAAAAATGATAATTGGAATTAGACATAACACGATTCCAAATAGAAAAACTTCAATCATTTCAATTTTTTGAAAAGGAGTAGTTCATATGCCTAGCCAATGCTCCAGAAGATCAATAAGAAACAAAATCAAGACAACCAGGGTCAACACAGTTACTTCATTTATTTAGTCAATATTTCTTTAGAGAGAGAGAAGGGGGCTGGGGTAATGTGCACGACAGCAAGAGCATTTCAGGTGCTAAAACAACCTAAATTTTAGATTGATAAAAAGAGCAAGATAATTAATATGGACATGTCATTCTTGTTACTCTGTCAATTATCTTACACCCGAGAAGAGAAAAAAAAAAAGCATTGACAAGTCTAGTTAGAATGAATAAAAACAAGGTGTAACAGGGAAACAAGAAGAGCAAACAGAACCTATTAGTTGCCATTAGAACTTTAATATTCCCACGAGCGTCGAACCCATCAAGCTGATTGACAATTTCAAGCATGGTGCGTTGGACCTCATTGTCTCCACCCACTCCATCATCAAACCGTGCACCTCCAATGGCATCTACTTCATCAAAAAACACAATGCAAGCTTTTTTAGAGCGGGCCATCTGCACAGGGAAAAGGTAATAATCAGATGGCAAGTCATGTAAGAGAATGTGTACACAAACTAAAGTAACTGAGGATTTGACCTGAAATAGTTCACGAACCATCCTTGCTCCCTCACCAACGTATTTCTGAACAAGCTCACTTCCAATAACACGAATAAAACACGCATCAGTTCTATTAGCCACGGCTCTGGCTAGCAGCGTTTTACCAGTACCAGGAGGACCATAGCAGAGAACGCCCTTTGGGGGGTCAATCCCTAGCTTCACAAACTTTTCAGGGTGAAGCATGGGCAGCTCAACAACCTACCGTATCCATCAGACCATACAGTCAATTAAGAATATCAAATTTCGTACTGAAATCATCTAATAGAGTTATTCAAAAAGAAAAGTAGCAATAGTTGATGAGAGAACAAAAGAATACAAAGAATAGATAGCAGCATTATCAATGAGGACTATCTATTCAGAGCATGACAAGAATCTGTATAAAACATACCTCTCGCATCTTTTCAATCTGCTCTTTGCATCCACCAACATCATTATAGGTAACATCTGGCTTTTCCTCTACTGTCATCATTGTAACACTTGGATCAATTTTCGGAGGCAAGGGGATCTGGATTTGATATTTATTCCTGTCAACACTGCAATGATGAAAGAAAATGTCAAACTATGAATCACACAATAGCAAAATGAATCATGTACCATCATTGAGGAAGCTCCCGCCTACTATATCACATGTTACCAAATAAAAAGAAAAGAGATATTTTTGGCTTAATGAGGTGAAACAAATGAAGAGGCAAATTTTAGAACCATCAGCAGCACAGAAACATGGAACATGTAGTTGACATTGTGAACTATCCTAATTCAGATGTATACATATAACAAGGCATTTCGTATACATATAGGATTACAATTCTAAATTTGGAAATAAAAACTACAGCAATGAGAAAATCATTTCCACGTCACTTCACTACATCACCATTGCACTTGATGGATTCACCATATTAATTTGAGCACATTTCAATATTTTGCAGTATAAAACAGAAACATCTTTCTACCAAAATGATTCCATCTGTGCACTTTATTATCAAGCAAAGTTCAAAACTCCTGCAAATAATATAGATGTGTTTGATAGCGTAAAGAAAAACCAAACAGAAAAAACTTACCCAACTCGCATGCCTTCTTCTATATCAGTTGGGGAAACTCTATCACCCAATCCAACAACAAACTGCAAGAATGAAATGGTGCTAGATAAATGAGATTGTCACAACTACGAAAAAATTTTGAGAACTTAAATGAAATAACTTGCCCTACACTACAAATGCAAAACAAACACAAAGTGCAACTGTCATATCTGGATATGGCTTCGGAGGAAATATCAATGGCTAGATTCTTTTTTATTTTTTTCACTTAGTTAATCTATTGGTTGAACCTCAAAATTCTTGAAAAGGCTTCTGAGAAGAAAAGAAGCTAACATACCTTTGCAATTTGTTTAACATTTATAACATACTTCGCGTCTTCTGTGTTTGGGCTAATGATTTTGGTACATCTTGCAACCTGATCACACAAGATGTAGTTATGGCCTTTTGAGATATAAAATAAGGTAGGCAGAACAAATAAAGTTAGCAATCAAAAAATTTACCTGGAGAGGTTGCTCCTCCTGCATCATTTGCTTATCAGAGACAAGATCCCATTGGCTGGGGGCAGCTAAACCAGTGTCCGATTCCTTGATACCTAACATGAAGCGAATAATCAACAGATTATTCTTGTCGAAATTAAAGTAATGAACAACAACATAATCCATGAGTATAGCAGATAATGAAAGAGATCAGAAGTAAGTTTTCAAAAAAGATTACTAAATGAATAGACAAAATTTAATGCCCTGATCATCTTCTAAAGAAACAAAATTGGGCAATGAAACATACCACATAAATCATTAATTTTCTTGGCCATTTCCTTGATTTCCTTCTCGACTTTCTTTATGCTAGTGGAGTAAGGTCCCAAGCCCTGCATACACCATTTCATCAGTAAAAGCAGCATTTTACAAACACGTCTAATTTTCAAACACTTCAGAGGCCATTATATAACAACAAGAAACTACCATCACTGAAACTTAAGCTTATAAAACAGATTGACTATGGTGTGCACCATAGAAAGCCGACAAACACTTTTTTTTTATTAAATTACATAAACCCGTTAAAAGCCTAAAGTAAGATTAGGAAAATCCAGATAAAATGTGGAAACCTAAATAAACAGTTAGTGGCAAGTCCTAACAGGATTGTACGCCAAGCTTCATTTCAAGTTAAGAAAATTAATAAAAAAATTTAATTTATATTTAATTTCCGAATCCCAGATCCTAAAAATACCCAAAACCTGGCTAGAATCCTCACCCCCACAATGTACAAATCATTTAAAATTCAGTACATTGCTTGTAACACTTCGTAATATAATTAAATAATAAAAACAACGCACTCGATCCTCATTAGGGTTTTCTTAAGATACAGTTTCTAGAACTCAGTTCCTTAATTATTTCACATCAAAAGAAACAGACCCAACGACACATTACAATCTACAGCTCGTACCAGAATTTACTTTAAGTAATCCAACAATTTTCATTTCTTAGATGCCTAATAGGAACAAAAGATAACAAAAACATAGCTGAAAATTAAGGTTCACTAGAAGGGAAAAAGAACAGTACATAGGTCTTGAGGAGCGCAATATCGTCCTCATCAAGTGGCGGAGGGTTCTTCTCGTCCTTGATCTCATCTTCAGGATCCGGTGCCATTTTTCCTCGGAATTTTATCGATGAAAGTTTTCTTGTAGAAGAAGAGATGAAATGGGCGAGACTGAACGGCTATTGAATTTTATAAACCCCATATATAGCACGTGATTGCACGTGTGTGCATGGGGCAGCCCAAAATGGAATCTGGCCCAAAATATATAATGGTCGGTCAAGTAACACCTCTATTAGCAGCGGATCAGGAATGGTCGGGTCTAACTCCATTACAAAATTTTAATTTATCTCAATTTAGTCACTGAATTTTAATTTCGTTTCAACTTAGATAATTGAACTTTAATTTTATTTTAAATTCATCACTCAATCACCTACTGCATCCTAAATTAATGAAAATCACTTGATTCATAAACCTGTTTCGCCCGGATAGTCGCTAACAATTAAAAAAGAAATTCAAACGATTATGTAAGGGACAAACATTTTGAGACAAAGTCTCAAAAATGAGTGTTTTATTGATGAGAGTTACAACTGAAAATAAACAGAATGCCTCTAAGGGGCGCAAACACACGAGTACTGAAAAAGTGATAATTAAAATTAATTTAAGAAATTGAAATTACATATTCTCTATTTGAGAGTGTTTGATTCGGGCGTCCTTTCTCTATGTCTATTTTTCCTTTTATATTCCCATGATGATTTTTTCGTGACAAACCGCTTAAAAACTGTTACCCATTTTCTTCATGGTGGCTAACTTATCGTGGAACTGTCATCTCTAACTGCTGTCATTACTCTTTGTTGTTCAACTGCCTTCAAA